CTTGCTTTGGACGCTGAAAGGAGGTTGGTTGCTGGCAAGCAGAGGTTGCACTGCACAGTTAGGCTATATTTCGTTCTCCCTTCTCTTTCTTTAATGTGAAATGCTGTTTGAATTTCCGAGATCGAAACGCATTCTTGCCCTGTCTCTGTTGTAGTTCCGGCTACATCTCTGTTCTAGCTCCCGCTGCTCCTCTTCCGACTCATTGTGACTGATCACGCAAACCGCGCATTTTTCGTTTTCACATTGGGGCTTCTGGGAAATGCTGAGTTGCCTTAATTTATTTAGAGAGTGACTAAACTCGTGAAACAGAAGTATCGTAATGTAATCCAATGATTTCAACAATGTAACTGTATTCTAAATACCAACTATTTAAATTGTAACTGTAACGGAATACAGATGGGCCTACACATAATTTGTATTCTGAATACGTAACGCCGGTACATATATTCCGTTACTCCCCAACACTGCTGGTGGAAACTGTGGAACATGTGCTGTTTGAGTGTATTAAATACTCAAATCAAAGAATGGATTTAAGGAATGGACTGGAACATGAAGGAATCAAACAAATGAACATTACAAATATCTTCTCAAATAAATCCAGAAAGATGGTGCTTAAAATCATATCATCTTATCTACAACAAACTGGACTAAACCTAAGGATTTAAGCAAAAGTAAATAAGATACAGTAGGTGGCGATAATGCTCCAATTGGTTGCAAGTCGCCAGTAAAAGAAGAAGAAGAAGAACACTGCTGGTGTCCAAGATGGCTGGCATGGCCTGAAGTGAGAGGAAGGGGAGGTTTTGTGTGGAAAAGTGTAAAAATCCTTTGCTGAAGCAACCTCACGCTCTGATGTGAACTGGAAAGAATATTAGGAGACAATTGGAAGATAGAAGGGGAAAAAGGGGTGAGGCGAATTAGAATGGAAGGAAAGAGGGAAGATGGCTAGCGAAGGCAACCTCGCGCTAGGATCCGCTCTTTGAGTAGGTTGGTTTGAGGGTGAGAGAAATGTAACTGTGTGCGAGGGTGACCTGGCACAAGGGTTATTATAAAGAAGTTTAGAGAGAACTGGAGAAGCAGAGGGAAGTCGGAGGAATGTGTTTGTGAGTTTGTTTCTTGCCTGGGGAGTGGGGCTGACAGCATGAAGTTTGTGAGAGCTGGAGAAGAAGCGGAACTGTTTTTTGCGGCCGCTGTTGCTGGCCGGGTGGAAATACCGGCGGACAAGGAAGTGTGAGCCGCGGCGGCGCCGGCGGCCTTTGGATCGGCACGTTGGGATTGTGTGGGTTCAGAACGCCGAACCGGGAGAGAAACGGAGGTAGAAGAGGTGCGAGTCTTGCTTTTATAAGATGTTGAAGTGTTTGATGGAATGCTGGAACTGTAAGAACTGATGAAAAGATCGTAGAGTTGAGCTTTTGCTGATCTGCAGGAGAAATGGATTCCGGAGCTGGAGAGGACTTGACGTAGGCTGTTGACTGAACATTTTGAAATGGGTGGAATCGGTGTATTAGCAGCGGAAGAATGGAGAGAAGATGGACGAGGCTCAGTTAAAACTGGTGATCTTGAAGATGGAGGAGAGCGTTGCCTTTTGGAAAGTGGTTTATATGAGCGCTGGATTTCTCGATCAGAACGCTCATGAAGATGATCCGTAAGATTCGATCTCACGCGGGGTGTAACTGGCTGTGACCCAGGAAGGCTTGTCAGTTCGTCGTCTGAAGGAAAGAGCTGGATTTCCGGGATGTCGGACATTATTCCTTGCGGCAGTAATGCATACTAGAAAAGCTGATACTAGGGAGAGGTAAGCGGCTGCTTATATACTCTGTTTGTTGATTGAAAGATTGGATGGGCTCGCTCCTCCCTAACTTACGTTTAGGAACTTCATTAATTTGGAAGAGATGGAAACCGGTGACGTTATAGGCTACACGGAGCAGTTTGTGATACTAATTTATGCGTTTCAATGGCAACACTATCAATGCTGAAATGAATCTGCAGCAGTCAGGTGGTACAGGTCAGTAGTCTTTGTTTGTTTTTGTTTGTTTGTTGTTTATGTTCATTATTATAGTAATGTTATGTGCTTTGAGACATTAGGTAATTTAACGCCGTCTCTCGTCTCGTGATGGTATGCAGAATCTGCTGTGTGCGTTCATGTGTTTTGAAGGAGGTGTGGCTTTGGAGACGCTCTGAAGGGAAGGTGGGATCTCATGCTTTTAAAGCTAACTTGCTATTGCTAATTGCCTTCCCTACCTCTAATGTATGTTTAAATAAACCCGTTATGAATACAAGTTTTTATGACAGCCACCTTAAAGACACCAACGCTCTGCAGTTTCCATAGCTGAAGAGCACAAAAACTGTGTGGCAGGAGCGTCAAGGTAGGGGTTTCCAAAGCCAAGCAACTGCATGCAAGCCTCAAATCAGCCAGTACAATTCCAGTCATCGGGTGGATTGGTGTAAAGCACATGTTCTGTGGACTGACGAATCTTTGTTTGGCAGTTTGATGGGTGAGTCTGGGTTTGGCAGATGCCAGGGGACTTTACCTGTAATTTATCGCCGTCTCTCGTCTCGTGATGCTTTGCAGAATCTGCTGTGTGCGTTCATGTGTTTTGAAGGAGGTGTGGCTTTGGAGACGCATTGAAGGGAAGATGCTTTCATAGCTAACTTGCTATTGCTAATTGCCTTCCCTACCTCTAATGTATGTTTGAATAAACCCATTATGAATACAAGTTTTTATGACAGCCACCTTAAAGTCACCAACGCTCTGCAGTTTCCATAGCTGAAGAGCACAAAAACTGTGTGGCAGGAGCGTCATGGTAGGGGTTTCCAAAGCCAAGCAACTGCATGCAAGCCTCAAATCAGCCAGTACAATTCCAGTCATCGGGTGGATTGGTGTAAAGCACATGTTCTGTGGAGTGACAAATCTCTGTTTGGCAGTTTGATGGGTGAGTCTAGGTTTGGCAGATGCCAAGGGACTTTACCTGACTAACAGCATTGTGCCATCTGTAAAGTTTGGTGAAGGAGGGATAATGGCATGGGGCTGTTTTTAAAGGGTTGGGCAAGGCTTCAGCATACCAAGACATTTTGGACTATGCTTCCAACTTTGTGGGAACAGTTTGGGTAAGGCCATTTTCTATTCCAGCATGACTGTGCGGTACTGGAACAGAGATTGTGAATCACAAGCTTCGAATCTAATCGAATTGTGAAATTTGTGCCACACAATTTCAAGTTTCTAAAGCAACCCCCTGTAAAGCAACCAAACAAAAAGCCTGTTTTGTTTTCACATTCTATTTCTATTAATTGCGGGTTTATCTGAAATAGATTACTCCAGAATAGACCGCTGTGGATAATTTAATTGTTCTGCAGTCTCTACAAATATCTGTATAGAAAATACCAGAAAATTGCAGGAAATGCAAATAGATTTTTGCAAATGTGAAAATGCACGATCAAAATACAAAGTACAGATTATTTCACAGACATAACTAATACAAAATAAATATAGGCCCAAATTCTATTCTAATTATATTAATATTCAAAAAAATTACATTAAACTTGAATCTATAATTTTTTTTTTAAATTGGGCCAAGCCAAAAATGGCACAAATATTTAGTTGTTTTTTAATGGTCTTTACCATTTTAATCACAAATCACTGGTCAGGAAATTAGCAAGAATTGCAGAAATACTGTAGATAAAGTAACTTAGCATGTAACAGCCTTCCCCAGCTTGCAGACAGCTTTTTACAGAAGAGTCAGTGTTGTTCCACTCAATGTTAATGGTTTTAAACAGTTAATGAGTTAGGGTTAGGTCTTCCAGTATAATGTGAGAAGTATAATGTACATCATAAGAAGGATGGCGTCTACACTAATATTAGTCTCTCTGTTTATCCAGAGGTTTACCGCAGTCCGCCGGATCCAGACCATATCCGGATCTGATGAAGGACCTGCGCCTGGACATGACGATAACGCAGTGCTCAAGTGTCAACTAGTCTCTCCCTGTGAAGGCCCCCTTCCATTCCCTGTACCTCTCTACAGATAAAAGTTAAAACGTTGTCAAAATAGTTCCAGTTCACATGGCTACTCGAAAGTGATACATAATTCTGTATTATACATTTTTAAGGCCAGACAAGTAATTTGTTTAGGTCAATTTGTAAAGAAAGACTACACGCCTGCGCACATATATATTCAAACACGCATAGCTATAGACTAAACACGTAATACGCATGTGCACGCCGTCAGCATTTTCACAGGTTTGCGTTTTTAAATCTTGCGCAGAGATAAAAAAAATTATATATATATATATATATATTTTTTTCTTCTTCTTCTTCTTCAAGGCTTGCACCTTGGAACCTGTTTCAAGGTTTAAGTTCTCGAGCCACGAGGCACTGTTGTTGTGCGAATGAGCAGGCCAGAGCGCGTTAAGGGTTTTCTGTTAGAACGGTGTCGTGTTAGCGGCCCCTAAATTAATAACTAATGATCTTTGCAACGGAAGTGAATCAATCAAAACTAACTTTAGCTGGACAATAACTTTATTCCAGAGCTGCTGTAAAGCCCAAACAATCTCTGTTACTTGAATTTCCTATTATCACTGTAAAGCTGCTTTGAAACAGTCCATATTGTTAAATGCGCTATATAAATGAAGGTGACTTGACTTGGAGCATTACCATGCAACTCGTGTTTCATTGTGATTCATCAATCCACACACAACTTACCATATTCTGCCAACAAAATCATTCTGTCTTTGAAAGGCTTTCTGAGACTGCAATGGCTTTTTAAGTAGTGCATTTACTTACATTTTGCTAATTTAGTTTAAGACAATTAAAAGCTTTATGTTGAGCCATTTTGGGTTTGGCCCATTTAAAAAAAAAAAAAATTTGCCCAGGAGTGTACACTGTAATGTTCTAGCACTCATACACTAGCTGCTTGTCTAAATAACCCACAAGTGCCATTGCTTGTTGTATAACATCATGATCATTTCATCTACAGATTCATTATTACTCATCACAAGCACACATGTACTGCAAGTTAATGACTTTTATTGATGCAATATTGAGGGCAGATTATCAGTGCAGATACAAGAAGAAAATAAATCATAGAACACAACCACAAATTGCAGTTGTTTAGGTTGACTACATAACAAAAGAAAGCAAATGACTAGAATTATTGAATATTTGCAATCTTTCTTATGATTTGTGAAACTACGTCACATATTCCAAAATATAACTCCCACAAAAAAACAATGTCAGCCATAAATCATCCCTTTAAAAGCAAGATCCCGAGATTAAATGCACCCTTTGGTTTACAATTTTCACTAGAGATTACATAACTAAAATACCATTTTTTTTTAACTTTGCAAATCAATCCACGTGAAAAGCATGCTGAAAGCTTTCTGTTCCTCCGGTTATTTGAGTGCTTGTTCACTTTTCTTTGACAACAATGTTGGTGAATCCATGAACCTGAGTGAGTTGAGGACAATCCAGTGAGGCCAGAAGTTTGTGAGGGCCATGACACTTGGGAATAAATGTCTCCGTCAGGTTCACTGTGGCCTGGCTTGCAATGTCACTGATAAACAGACAAAAAGTAAGATTTTATTTATATACCAATATAAATGAATAGTAGCATGTTACATGTCCCATTCTTTTGTATTGTTTAACACGATTCATTTCCTACCCATAGTTAATGGATCTGCAGTGCTTCAGTCCCAGTCCCTCGATACGGAATATGGCGTTCTTCAGCACGCAGGGCAGTGGGTTCTGGAAAGTGATTTTGATCGGCACTTCTTTGCCCACCACACAATCACATCCAGGCTGAAAATCACAATCCAAATTAACACCATACTACAGATTACAGGACAGTCATGCAAAAGACTCCATTTCCACCCAGCTAATACTCATCAGTAGTTCTTGATTTTACTTCTAGCCATAAGACAGGGTTATAAAATGTATAGTTTCATCAACAAACACATTATGTCCAGCAGGTGAAGTATAGATTTCAAGTTATTCAAACTCACAGAAATAACAAGATCTGGTGTGCACATCCTGAAGTTGAAGCGCTTGGCCACAATCTGCTTAGTTTGAGTGACCCGTCCAGCGACAGTGAGCATCATGGTTGAATGATCCACAAGGTGAGTCTTGTAATCCTCATATCGCAGGGCCCACTCCAGAACCTTGGCTAAAGAGGAACAAGAGACAAACAATGATAAATACTAATGCTTCTGTTAAAAGTAACAGTAAAATCCTCATCCCCATCATATCAGAACAATTCATATTAGACTTGATTTGATTTGAGTGAAGTTTCACAATTGATGCATCTTCAACTGAATAAAGACACTATTGCCTTCTGTAGAGTTGCTTATAGATTTATGGTCTTTGCATCAATGCTTCAGATAAACTAATAAATGTAAACATTCATCTGTTGACTGAAATCTTTATTATCTTTGTGATTTTTGCAAATTTTTCTAGTCACTGTATTCGGGTGTGTGAGGCACTATATATATTTTGTGTGTTATACAATAATGTTAAAATTCAATTCTGCAGTGAAGAACATGAATGGATTTTTACATGCTCAACTTTAGCTAAGCTCTTTCATTTCTTACATTCACTGGCCTTGAGCTCAAAGCAGGTCTGGTCCCTCTTCACCAAGGATTTTTGGACTCCGGTGTAGTACGTGGCCGACACATGGCTGTGGAGGGTGACGCTACGAGGTGAGCTGCATTTGTTCTTCAGAGCGATGCAGAGCACGGCATCCTTGCCCACACATGGTCCATCCCCCTTCATGGTGACATCACAGACGACATCCTCAGCGCAGGGCAGTGGGTATGTGCATCTCTTGGAGCCATGACGAAGGGCTGTCTCCACAGCACAACGCTCCTCCTCTGAACCTGAAGGATGTGGAGAGGGAAGCTATTACAACTATTCAGAATGAAAGAGTCTTTAAGTGATGTGTGTGACTGTTCACCTTCTGGGTGTTTGTAGTGGTGTGTGATATCCACACGTTTGTCTGAGCCAACAGCCTTGGTGCTGATGCAGTGACCTACTGCATTCTTGTCAATGTGGATCACAGAGAAGGTTCCACATGCTGTTCTCTGCCAGAAGACTACGTCACTGTTCACCTACAGCAAGAAAATGTAATAAAACAGGAAGATAACAGAATCAATGATGCAAGCTTCATCAAATATGAGGCAAATTAAACTTTTACTGTAGAGCAGTCATTATCCAGCTCAATTCGGTTCAAGTTTTGTTGGTAACGCTTCCTTTTACAGTCCTGTTACCCATGTACTTACTATGTACTTATTATAGTAATTATAATTACTGGGTAATAACTAGGTACTAACCCTGAACCTACCCCTAACCCATGTACTTACCTTATATTAGCCAGTATTTTCTAGGTAAGTGCACGTAAGTACTGTACTGTAAAAGGAAGCGTTACCGTTTTGTTCTCATCTGATAGTGTCAGTGCAGTCAAATCAATAATATTACTGCAAAACACTAACGCTATAATATATTACTATAAGATAGTCTGCACGCTATAAAGAGATTCACATGTTCTGGAATAATTGCATCAAAACCCTATGCTTAATGCTCCAATTACAAGGGATGTTCGTACCTCAGCAAAAACGAAGGGAGTGTCATATTTAAGGAAGACCTGTCCACTGCGGACCGCAGCAACAGATGTTGGGCCGCAGCGGAAGATGCCCTGGCTGGTCTCCTGAGGAGTGGAGTCAACCACCTGCCAACCTCCAAAACCACATGGGAGGTCGGGACGAGCCATCCAGGCCTCATTCCACACGTGGTAGTTCCTACACGAAGAGAAGGAGAAGGATTCACATAACAGTAGAGGAGACAGAAATATAATGCAATGCAAGAGGACACAAGAAAAGATTGCAATGCAAATTCATCACGTTGTGCTTTGTCTAGAACATTGCATAGTTTAGGTGATCACATATAGATAAGTTAAATATTTATTTCATACTCAGTGCATTTACATTTTATCACCAATAGGCGGTGCTCATCAAAGCTGCTATCGCCAAACTGCATATTCAGCTTTGCAGTGTGCAAGCCATATAAATCTTTATAATCACCTACTTTTGTAAATATGTAGTGAAAATGTCAAATCAATGGAATCAAAAATCAATTTAGAAAATACTGCTTAATGACACTATTGCTGACACAGTTGCTGATGTTGCATAATGAAAGAGGTTTGTACAGAATCTTACCAGATTGAATCACGGTTCAGTTTATCGATCAGACCATAGTTCTCATCAAGATAAATATCTACTGTCATAGACACATCAGTGTCATGAGCAGAACAGAAGTTTGTGACCGGACGAGTAGGAATGCCCAAACATCTCAACACTACGAGAAAGAGAAGAAGAATGTGTGCATTACATCTACAATCCCTTTCTCAACCCTAATTTTCTCCTTGTCCATTCTGCCTGAACTCTTACGTGTGTTGGTGACTCCAGCGAAGGCCAAGCTCTGTCCATATTTTACAGGTTTTCCTCCACATTTGTGGTATTGTTTCAGGATGGCACCGCTTCCACACCAGGATGTTGGAGAAGTTCCGTCTCCATAGCAGTTTGACCAGTTACCCACCAACACACCACAGTCATCGTTGGCATTAATCTGTGAAAGTGTGAAGAGTGCTACATTATTATCTGTTCTCTTGCTAAACATCATCAAGTCATGATTGCACCATTCAGATGAAGCATAGAGCCCATCAGGAAGTGTGTTAGACTTCATGAGGATAATGAAGACTTACCATAGCAGACACCACTCTGGCCACGTTAACAGGGTCTCCCCATCCCGAGCAAGGTCCACCACTCTTCTCCAACACAAAGAAACACGCAGCCAAGACTCCTTCATCAAACTAAGAGAAATTCAAAGTTAAAATGCTTGCCATGCAGTGTGCAATTTCTGTGGTCAGCACTTCAGATCAAACATATTCCATTGCAAACATTTTGACATATATTAATGAAAAGTTTGGCTCTTACTTGGCCAAAGTTCCAGGTTCTGGATGCGATCTGATGTTTAGTTCCATAGAAGATTTTGCCCATGTCGTTCAGCACATACTCAACTCTCTGGGCCTCCTCATCCAGGTACACGGAGTCATCTAGTAAAGAAAGAGAGTGCTGACATTTTAACTGAGAAGCTTCATATACTGTAGTTTCGATAATGGTTTCATTAGTTTTTTCTTGATTCAGTCTTACAACCATTTACTGATTATAATAAGCAATGTTCCTTCTATTAAGTAGATGCTCGACTGACATCCAGTGCCATTCTTTAAGAAGCATTTGTAGAAATATAAAAATACAGCCTATATTGAAAACATTTATAGTAGGTTAATATTTATATATCTTGCAAATGAATAAGTGTGGAGATTTGCAAGATTTCTCACAGCTACAGTCATGTATTACAAATTAATTAATATTAAGACTTAGCATTTTTCCCCACACATCTTTACAGTCTTCTGCATGGAATTTCTGAAGTGCACAGTTTACAAGGAACATTGCGTTCAAAAGTCTGACATGCAGTTCTCTTCCTCTTCATACTGTACATACCTTTACACCAGGGGTTGAAAAGCATGTAAATGTCATTGCAAGGGTTGCATGAAGACGTGGCTCTGCCTTTTGGGCCGCAAGTCACAACGGTGAGGCTGTATCGTCCAATACAAGAAGTCGGAAGGGAGTACACACACAGTTTGACTCGGTTTTGCACCCTTTCGACAATCTTGGCCTCCCAGCGAGATTTTTTGAATTCTTCCACTAATGGAACAATCACCAGAGTGCCCTTGCATATTGATGGAGCATTACCTGTAAAATACAAACAGCAAGAAATAACCAGGGTTATTATCATTAAATAAAAGTTTTTTTTTTTTTTACTCAAGCTGATCAAAAAGACTTAACCAACCAAGTCTCAGCTCCAGGTGAAGATTGTCACATTTCAGATTGAACGGCCGGGACAGCTCAACCCACATCTGGAAACACTGTCCTCTGCGGACAATGAGGTGATCACTACGATAACAACTGGTGTGATGCTCCAGACGATTCTGACACTTCCAGGATTTCATCAGGTCAACACAACGTACCTGCAGAACCAAATCTGAGAAAAAAACAAGCAGAAGAAATCAATCAGCTGTACTGGTAGTGTTTGCGTGTTGGTCAAAAATTAATTAATTTTTTATTTCATATTTTGTATTTTTATGAGATTTAAAGACGACCCTTGGCAGATTATTGCTGAAGTGAAAAAGTAAAAAAAAAAGTGAACTTCTAAAAAATGTACAATTTTAGATGTGTTGTTATGAATAATGCACAAAAATACCATTTTCGATTTCTATATGAAATATATATTTTCCAAAACACGTTTTACTCTAAAACTGTGAGAAAATCAAAGCCATAAATCTAAGCTGTGTTTCAATTTGAGGTTTATATCTCAAAAAATAAGCTTTCAGTAAGGTTTTGTTTGGGTGCAGAACCAAACGCTTCCACTAAATGAAATCCGTCTCCCATTAATTTCCAATGCGCTCATTTTTGACTGCGAACAATATAAGTGTGACTATTTTCTTTTTTAAGGACCATTTAACCTTTTCGAATAATTTCCATTATTTTGTATGTGTGTGTGTGTGTGTTTACACTGCAAGTGGCAAAACCTTTACCAACTTTTGCACCATTCCCATGAAGTAAAAAAAGATGTAACGACAACAAAATGTTAACTTTTTCGCTCAAAAATGACCGAACAGCACCAAAGGGTTAATAAACACACAAACAGACCAGATCTACAAGTCTTACCTTCACAGGTACGGACACATTCATCAGCACACTCCTTGTGGAAGACTTGCTTGCAGTCATAGTCGCAGCGAGGTCTCGGGTAGTCGCAAGGGATCGCACAAGGGTTAGCGCATGGGTTGACACAAGGATTCACAAAAGGAACCACGCAAGGTTTGACCACAGGTTTCACACAGGGAATGACCACGGGCTTCACGCAAGGGTCCAAACAAGGGTTCTGGTACACCGGCGCGCATGGTCCGAGTGTCACGGCTGGGAAACGGCCGATGTTGCAGAAGTTGTTGGTCTGGCCACACCTCATGACAGACATGCTGTGAAGAAGTGCAGACAAAGAAAGAAGGTGACTGATGTTGTCACCTAAATGGTTAAACATTCATGTACTGTAGGCCTATGAACATCTTTCAAGGACTCCATCTCTAAATTTCAACAGAAAACCCTATAGTGAAAAAAAGTATACTTTATTGACTTTGAAATATATTCCCTTTATCAATAGTACTGTAGCTACATTGCAATATACTAACAAAAAAAATCACTATCTTTAACTATATTATATTAGCATCATGCTTTTACCTATTTTCACAATACTTTTAACACATAATTGTAGGCTACTTTAGTATATTTTCTAAAAATATATTTTAGAAAAATATACTTGAAGGGAAAATTCTGTTTATTCTTTAAAAGTGTCTTTATTTGCACTTTATTCAAAATATATTTTAGGTAGGCTATATTTTTAACTGTGTGCTGGAAATGATCATTGTAACAATGCATTGAAATCATACTTTCAAAATACATTATAGTATGCAATAGCATTTTGTACAAAGTATGGCTAAGTATTATTTATTAATGTGCATCTGTTATTGAAGACAGAGTGTGCAATTTGTAGAATTTGGAATAAGCCAAAGGTAGCATATACTTTTTACTCAAATATAATACACTTGTGGTATATTGCTTGCATGTTTAGAAGACACTCGCAATGAATTTGTAATGTACTTGTAACACAAGTAAAGTACACTTTAATATCACCAATCAAGCATGTAATTAGTCCCTACACAGGCATATACTTAAAGTATACTTGAAGTTGTTCCCATTCAGCACACAAAATTACACTAAATATACTTAAAGTTATGCTAATTACAACTAAAATATACTTAGTACAAAATTAGTTGTTTCAAAATAGCACACTTCAAGTTAACTAATCAGTTACACACTTGAAGTACTAAATTAGTCTGGCTCCAAATATACATTTTCCATGCTGGCATAAAGATGCACTGAATAGGATATTTGGTCATTTTTAGTTGATTACTTACATGTTTGCAGTTCTTTCTCCGGAGTGATGTTGAATCTGAAGAGAGTAACAGTTCTTATTGAACTCAAATGACTGAAGTAAAGTAAGTCTGTCTGGAACCACGGCTTCTTGCGCTGTGACACTTCTCTCCACTGTAGTCTGGTATATATATTCACATCTCCATTCCCAGCCCGTTCACATGAGTAACAGAAGCACCTACAGTGTTTCCTTGTCTCATGGAAGGGAGGGAAGGATTGTAGATGAATCACACAGGTTAATTTGAAAAACGAATGTGCCAATTTACGGTTTAGTATAATTGCTCTGATATAATTGGTATAAGCATAATTACATTTTAATGGAGCAATTCCAGCATAAAGGAGCACATAAGCACATTTTTGTATGGAGTAGCCATATACATTTATAATGGAGTTTGGACACACCCCATTCGGTTTTACACAGTAATAAAATTCTGTATAAAGTATTAGAATTATGTAAACAAATGAACACTCTTCAAATTCGCCACCCTCTGTCTAGATTTCAACAAGATGGCTTCTCTCAGCCAACTAAAAATAATTTAAAAAAGTATGTTTGTCTTGTCTTCCAGTAAAAATAGCCTACCTAAATATCCTTAAACAAGAAAATCGGAAAATTGCTTTTTCTTCTTTTCTTTTAAGCATAAATCTAACAAAAGTGAGGTTAATGTGCAAATAATTATTACATTAAGGATGCTTAGACATTTTTACAGAAATATTAGATGAAAAATGTAATTAAGAAATTTACCTTTTCCCCGAATCCTCCAGAAATTCATGTCAGCATAATTTCTTTATAGAATTCACTTATAAGACCTTATATAGCAATTTGAGAGAGATTTTATATTTCAGAGGGTGTAAATAAGAAATTTTCAAGATTGTTATGAGACTGTTAAATACATTAGTAAATGTTACGGTGTGACTTGCTTAACTTCATCTAAAACTATATAATTTTATAATAATCTTGATGTTGGGAAAAATTCAGTTCAACCAAAAGTGTCTCAGTGAAGCAATTTACACACCCAGATCCTTTCTGCAAGTCTTTAGGCTCAAACAGACACACCACAGGTGTGTAAACGGTTTCCTTCTGGGTTTCTCAACTGTCATTATCAAAACTGCCATCAAAAATAAATCACAAAAAAATAAAGGATTAGGATGAGGATTTAACTGTAATTTGCATCATAATCAAACAAAATAATCCGAGCACAACTAACAGGGTAAAACACCCAGTGTTAATGTTGGGTTTGGCAATCATGCTATGCCATCAGTCATATGATTTGCCCAATCTCTATTTCCTTGTTGCATAAATTGCCTAATTTATGATCAGGGGTTGATCACATGAATTTGAGTAAATTGTCAATTAATTGAGGGGCAAGCGCTGTGCATGAATTATAAATCTAACCCTCCCTGATTTTTTGGTCCGACCTCAATTAATTCAGAGTTATTAAGCACAATCATCCTGCATGTTGAAATCTCCATTTGCTTCTGGAGCATCTGATTTTCCCAGTCAATGACTAATAATCAGACCAGATCACTTCCCCATATAACTTGACCCTGCATGGTCTTTGTGTAAAAGCCCTAATTTTGCATATCTTATTCAGTGGGCAAAACTATACTACACTTGTTCACCCAGAAGAAATATGTCATATTTGGCATGACGATGACAGTATTTTCATCTTTGGGGGAATTATCAAGCAATAGGCTACTGAAAGCAGACTTACTGGACATGCAAGCTCATCTGTGTCTCCTCCTTCGGGTAGTTCTTGCGCTTTGAAGTTTAGGCAGGAAAAGAAAATGATGTTGTTACAGTTTGGACAGCAAGGAGGATTACAGATTTAATGCCACTGAATCTCTTAAATGATTCTAGTCTGGATACTAATGGCACTAATTAGGTCAGAACAGGATCTCATACATAATTCTGACTGAACTCAACATCTCAGCTTCTCAAACAGCGACACCAAATTCCCTATTTTAAAATATTTGTAAAGAAAATGATCATTTATATGTGCACATGTGTGTGTGTGTGTGTGTTTGTGTGTTCAAACCCATTAGAAGTCAGTAAGTATACTTTAGAAATAAATTAATAAATTAGCAAAGGACACAATAAATTGATCAAAAATACATAAACAGATATATCTCTATCTTTCTATCTATCTATCTATCTATATTAAGTGTGTGTGTATATATATATATATATATATATATATATATATATATATATAGGCTACAGTATATACAGTATATATTGTAATATTGTATGTATGTGTGTGTATATATATATTATTTTATTATTATAGTATTATTTTCTTTCAATTACTGACATCAATAGACAGATGGAAGCCAATAATATGTGTAAATATGTGGTTTCAGGAAAATAATTATGTTTAGTTGCATATGATAGGCTACATCTGTTCTTACAATGCATATGTTCGTACAACTAAGCAAATATTTATACTACAATTTATAAGTTGTGTTTCTCAGAGAACATGAAGGTGTATGGTTATATGCAATATCAGCAGTGGCCAAAAGAGGGCTTTAATGAGCATCTGAACCATCAGTCCTTCTTGCTTGAGATCACACCTGTCTCTGAAAGAAACCTGCTGTCCCATTGTTGACTACTAATTTAATGACCACAGTGTTTATTTATTATAAAAACGGTTGTTATTATAAAAATTACCGCTCCCTCAGATGACATTTTTATCCTTTCAACCAACCGCCGAAATGCATGCATCGACCAGATAAAGACATCTAGCATATAGAATGTTTTGCAATAATTCAATTTGGACATGCCTTATAGAAGGAAGCTTTGTAGTGTTTGTAGTCAACAAAAATCTTTCCAATAGGGGGCAGGTGTTTGCCAAAGTGAACCATAGTAGTATTTATATTGTCAAATATATTAAAGAAGAGAGTTTATATATATTATATGTAGTGCACATGTCCAATAAATAATAAATATATAAACAAACAGGCTACAAATATACTGTTCTATAAAGAAACCACATCTGGAATGAGTTCCCAGTGTGTTTTGAAAGCATGAGTATGCAAAGCACACACATACAAAGCATGTATATGTGTGAGTGTGTGCTGTGAAACCACACAACCCCAGGAAACCGGTGAGAACATGCTATTTCAGCAGATCTGTGAAAGCCATTTCACTTCCTCTCAAGAGAATTAGAACAGCACTATTATATATTCCAAAAGAATGTCTAACACTTGTTCTAATACTGACTGTATGGTTATGAACTTATATATAAACATGTAGTATAAACCTGATGTATGTATACACACACCCATATATATATCAACCCATTCTCACTCCCAAGGCTTAAAAAACTGAAGCCTGGTCAAGCGCCCCCGGAGTCACAATGAAGACGCCAAAGGCGCCCCTCTGCGTCACATATGGACGAATTGGGAAGTCCATTGCAAGTCCAATGGGAAACAACAGATGCAAATTTATCAGTAGGAAATCGTGCTGAAGAAGTCTCATTCCGAACACATCGCGATATGGCATCAGGTCACGTGTGCCAGATGTTGGTAAGTAGTCGTAAATATGCTGTCCTAATGTTTGTTAAAATGTCTTTTCTGTCTGTCGATATTAATCATATTAGCTCCCTCATGTTCAGTCACTGCATTATATCTGTCATTCCACGGAGGCTTTGCGTTTTAATCACCGTAGTTTAGTAAGGTGTTGAAAGAGAGCAATGAAATGCAAAGCCTCCACATCTGGCAATATATGTATATATATATATGCATCTGGCAGTAGATCCTTCAAGTCCTGTAGGTTGTGAGGTGGAGCCACCTTGGATCAAACTAGTTGGTCCAGTACATCTCACAGATGCTCAATTGGACTGAGATCTGGAGAATTTGGAGGCCAGAGCAACACCTTGAACTTTTTATCATGTTCCTCAAACCATTCCTGAAAAATATTTTCAGTGTGATTACATTATCCCGCTGAAAGAGTTCACTTCCACCAGGGAACACCGTTGTCATGAAGGGATGTATCTGGTCTGCCACAATGTTTAGGTCGGTGGATCCGGACCCAGCGTTTCCCAGCAGAACATTGTCCAGAGCGTCACACTCCCTCCACCGGCTCGCCGTCCCACAGTGATCCTGGTGCATCACTTTAACACAGCATGCACACACACACACACACACACACACACACACACACACACACACACACACACACACACACACACACACACACACACACACACACACACACACACACACACACACACACACACACACACACTGCTGGCCACGTGATGTAAAAGAAAATGGGACTCATTAGACCAGGCAAACTTCTTTCACTGCTTCAAGGTCCAGTTCTGATGCTCACGTGCCGATTGTAGCGCTTTGGACGGTGGACAGGGGTCATCATAGGCTCTCGGATTGGCCTTGCCATACTGTAACATTTTGGCCCTTGTCAAAGTCTCTCTTTATTCAGGCCCATTTCTCCTGCATCCAACATGTTGATTACAAGAACTGTTTGTTTGCTTGTCTAATGTTTTACTATCTAAATGTATTCACTTCACCTGTGAATGCTCATAATGTTTTGGCTTATCATATTCAAGAATAGTGTTCTAATTTGCAACCAAATTCTAGAATATCAACATTAAAATCACCCGATCGTGATGAGGCAAACTGCTTTATAAAAAAGTTACGATAATGACTTTATATTAAGTATATATTAAGAAGAATGATTCTTGACTGGTTAACTGGGTCATATGTAAAAACAGGTTCCATGTGTGTTCTGATGTTACCGACAGGGGGAAAACAAAAATGCTAAATGCAACTAATACATTGCAACTAACCAGTCATGCATTGGTATGATAAAGAAAATAGGCTTAGCATCTTTTAAAAACCACAGTAATTCAGCTAAATTAAAGAGACACTGACATGGCAGGTTGTGTGACATTCACTCATCCTCAAAATACATGAACAACATTACACAGGTAAAACATTAAATAACTACATCAAATATTCGGCAAATCACACTCATTGCATGTATATCATTTTAAGAGTCGGATCAACTAAGAAATAGCTTTACTGTATTTTACTGTATGTTGAACAAGGTACATCATAAAATGTGAAGCAATTAAAAACCTCAAGTTTGTGTATGTCTGCCTGGTTGCTTAAGACTTGTTTTGAAGCAATTCCTCGGAAGTAAAACTAAGAAATCAAACTTAGTAAGAGGAAGACACACTTCCCCATGCAGGACGGAGGTCACATGGGTCAAAGCAGCTGCTGGCCGCATGCCTGTTTATAAAATACAACAACAGTTAATGGCTGGTCTCTTTATGAATCATATTGAATAATTGTCATTTTAAAAAATATTCAAAAACATGGTTAAGCTCTTTGCTTTATGTCTGATTTATTAAAAAAAACGATGTTAGAAATTAAACATCCATTTTGTGCTATATTGCCACACCTCTTTTTATTTTACCACATTTTACACATACTTCACACAGAGACAGAACACGTACACTCCAAGCTACAACTAACCACAAACCAATTGAGGTTAGATTCAAAAACAAACAAAACAAGCTATCGAGATCTCTGAAAGATGTCAAACAGATGGAGACAAAATGAAAACAAGTGAAAAATAATATTGCACTTATTGCAGTAGCATCAATAAACAATGCATGTTGTAAATTCCGTATGTTATTAATGGTGAAAAAGCAAGCAACTCTTGTATTGTATATGCTTTTTTCAGGCAGATGTTTCGGCTTATTTGTGCATGTAAGCAGCAACTTTGCAAAAAGCCTTGCAACCACACAGCAAAACATTCAAAACCTTCAAAACATCATCAGCAACTACACATCAATGTGAGGTTTTGTGGTTTTCGATTATTTATTTATTTTTCTTATTATCGCCAATTATTATTGCCAGTCATGAAGGTGAAGTTGCTATTTCAATTAAAACAACATTTAGTGACCTATTATATTTTGAAAGTTCGCAAAAAAAAAAAAGTATTTACAATGTAACTTACAATGGCAGTAAATTATTCATAATTCAAAGATTCTCATATTGTTAATAACAAAGAATAGATTTTTTTTTGGTCTTTGCTATTTTATTTATAGGCTATATTTAAATATATGTTATTTAAGAACGCACATTGCGTTCCCATATGAACATCATAAGCAACCCGAATTTATATGCAGAGATGGCATTTGTTAAACGAGCTGGAGACGCCAGGCCACTTCTTCATTTCATCCCCCCATACACCGCGGGTGTGATAATAAACATTAAACATCATGGTGTTTAAGTGTTTTGTGTGTGATCCCACAACATGGCAAGTGACTACTTCCGTGTTGCAAGATAAGGCAGTTGCAGCAAAGAACGTTTTTCTAAACTCTTTGGTTGCAGTGACGAAAAGTCAGAAAAGTCCATTCAGGAAAAAAACCTGAACGTACAAGGCAATATATAATACGACGAAGCACAATGAGAGTTTCTGCTTTCATCTAATCAATGACACTGACACCGCAAATATGGTTTATGGATATAATGAGACCGTTAGTTTGAGGCTTTACTAGCCTTCTCCCGACTCACAGGGGTTTAGCGAGAGAAAGTGTGTAACTGTCTCAGTGGTATAGCTAGGGTGCTGGATTGGATAAAGCCTCTTCTGATCTCATTGCAGGGGTCAGATGCCAATCTGTCTTACCTCGACAATGTCTACCTGACTAGAAAGAGAAGACACTGTAGCCTAATTTAGTACGCTCACGTTTCTAACATATAACGTAACATATAGCCTACTTTAGCCTGAGCTAAAGAGAAAGCATACGGGCAATTAAACGAAAAACAGTGTGTGAGAGAGAGAGAGAGAGAGAGAGAGAGAGAGAGAGAGAGAGAGAGAGAGAGAGAGAGAGAGAGAGAGAGAGAGAGAGAGAGAGAGAGAGAGAGAGAGAGAGAGAGGGAGGAAATGCCTGACCGCTTCAACTGACCCTGAGGAATGTCAGATTGGGTCATGTGTCATTCAATGCAACTCCTCCCCAGGGATCAGGTCCAGGTCACACATCACCCGAAAATAAAAAGACTCAATAGGAATAGTCTTTTTGCATTGCATTTCATAACAATTAATGTTTATATAATTATTTCTATCAATGTATATAAATGTAATAATGTAAAAATGCACACATAATCAATAAACACAAATAAATCAATAAATACATTTCACAACAGTCTTCATTTTTCATTGAGCAAAATATTCTATTTCCTTTGATTTCAAGTATATTAAAAGACTTTTGCATTGCATTTTAGTATTGCTATTATTTCTATCATTGTATACAAATGCTTTAAAAAAATATTTAACTAAATAATAATGTCAAAATTTATAAATAAATAAAACAATGTCTTCGGTTCATAAATATCTTATTTATTTGTCTTTAAACATAGTCTTTATTTTAAAATAAATTTAATTAATTAATAATGTAAAAAAGATGACAAAATAAATATATACATAAATACAGTATATTATATACCATATGTTATACAAACATAATATCCTATTTATCTTTTCAAAGCAGCTTTACATAAAAAGCATGTGTCTAAATTACAATTTCTTTTGATTGCACAACAAAATAAAAAAAATTGGTACAAGCACTAAAGTTTTGCCTTCTCTTCCTCTCTTTGACACACACACACACACACACACACACACACACACACACACACACACACACACACACACACACACACACACAGAAGTGCGCCCGCCGCCCAAGAGAGTCATGGTGTAGGGGGTAATCTAGAATAATCCTGCTTTATTGGCTGTTACCGCTGTGACGCAGGTCCGCTCCCCCTGATAGATTCTGGGTGACATCTAGCCTGACATTTATACACATATACACACAGTTACCAGCTAGTCTCTTTCTATCGGACATGACACACACACACACACTCCGTCTCCCTCCCTCACAAACACACACGTTTGCATCTAAACAGGGACTTGACTTCCCCTAGACTTCATTTGCCTTTAAATTAAGCTAATTATAATTACTACAGACTAACCCTAACACTAAAATAAAACATGCAGCACTTTTAAAAGCCAATAAAGACATTAGAGTCTTAATGAACCATTTTCCTTCTGAGGACGCCCCTTTGTCAGATACAGTATATGCACATTTTTCTGCAAACTTGTCCCTAAAATATAGTTCTATTTACTCACTTGTATAAAGGTGCATCTCAAGTTTAAGATCTGATGACTTTCTCTAGAGGGCAGCATTGACATTCACTGCTATAAAGGCAGAAGGGATGTTTTTTTTTTTGCTAGTCAGTTTTAATTGGTTCATTTATTATATAGGCTATACGTATTCCTTTACACTAATGCCTTTTAAAGACATGTATACCAAGTCGACTATTGGGGCTACAGAAACATGATTGATAAATAGCCTAAATAAAATAAAAAAGTTCAGCAAAAATTCTTAAGCTATACTTTATTATAAATATCCCCGTATTGCTTTAACAGGTTGTAAAGGGGTATAACTGTGTATAATATTACTGTAGGTGAGAAGCGCGTGCCTGGATTGGTTTGCGCAGCTGTCACTCAAATTCACCGTCACTCCTGCTTTAGTTTACGGGTTAATCTCTATGCATCCTCACTGTGCAACCGAGATGACATGAGCAGCCAGCAGTTTGACAGGACAGCTGACAATGTGATCATACAGGTAGGTAATCCGTTCAACACATATTATTGATTATGCGCATCTATATTCATTCAGTGCGCATTTTACGTATTAATCGGACTGGCAACTTATTGATTTATTTATTTATGCGTTTATTTTTCACAGAATAAAACAACATGTAAAGGCTCAAAGCGTCCAGGTTTCACTTTAAAAGAGGAGAGGGACAGGGTCTTTTGCCACTTGATATTCGTTTTCTTGGAAAGGCGTGCCCTTTTTTCTTTGTCCGACCTGAAAACTCATCGCAATCATGCAGCAATCATCCTGATTCTCACGGCCCCCCGAGAGCCGTGAGAACCCGCGTCCACCGCCGTCGCCACGAACTTCAGCGCTGTGCACAAACGGGACATCTGGCGAGCTTTTACGCACAGTGGTGAGGCGCAGCAGCGGTGCGCTGCATGCAAAACGAATGCATAGACGTGCATATAAACTCTCACCTGACTGACTCTTAGAATAAATGCATGAAATTATAACATTTTCCTTACAACCGCTTATCGTTTCGTTGGACATGGCTAAAGCGATATAAAACCACAGACTCTATAACAAACCGATCTCTAATCACTCGCCATGGAAGAGAATCTGAGTAACTTGAGCGTGCTGAACTGGGAGCAGGTGAAGCGTCTGGATGTCATCCTGACCGAATCCATTCCTATTCATGGCAAATGGAACTTCCCCACTTTGGAGATGAAACCTCGGGATATTGTCAAAGTGGTGCGGTGTCGCATGGAGGAGCGTAAGATCCACGTCCGGGAGGTCCGGTTGAACGGTTCCGCGGCCAGTCACGTTCTCCACGAGGACAGCGGTTTGGGCTACAAGGATCTGGATCTCATATTTTGCGCGGATCTGAAAGGAGAAGTGGCGTTTCAGACCGTCAAGGATATCGTTCTCGACTGCCTCCTGGATTTTCTGCCTGAAGGAGTGAATAAAGAGAAAATTACTCCAGTGACATTAAAGGTAAACATTTAGTGAGCGTATTATTTGTTAGTTACTTTCATTTGTCTTAATTGTGTTTTAAACCAGTGTCAAGCTTAGTTTAAACCAGCCCAAACGTTTTTTGTGTTTTTTTTTTTTTTTTTGCTGGTTTTACAAGGGTTTTTTAAGCAAGGTAGCTAAAATTTCCAAGCTAGTAATTGAAACCTTGCAGGGGTTGATGGATTCATCATTGCCACTGCACCCTTGAGCAAGCCACTTAACCTCATGTTACCCCATCAGGACTGCCCTTATTTTAAGTGTAGCTACTGTCACCTTGGATAAGCGAGATTCAGCTAAATTACTACTTAGTAACTGATATAATTCCATATGTTTCATGTGTTAAGTAAAGGGGAAGTGCATGACATGCTATAATTTGACATTGACTGGACCTAGACATGCCCTAGAGAGTGTGTATTAAATTAAAGCTGCAATAAGATAAGGTCACTGGTTGTAAAAACGTTGGTTTCTACTACCAAGATGATTTCGCTAAACCAATTTACGATGGATCCGCTTTCACCTCTCTCTACCGTATGCAAAAGCACACAGCGTTTTCATTTATGCAAATTAGACTGATACAATTTATAGCTATAGCAATGCAATGTAATGCCTTTACTGGATATGCAAAGTGACTTTACAATGTCAAAATTATGCATCTGCAGTCTTCTACTATTGACAAAATGCTTATTGTAGACATATTTAACTTTTCTTGCACATTTTTCAATAATGCAGAGAACTTAGGGAAATGATTTTAAGAATTATTTATTTGTCTGCTTAAACACCCACATACGGTGCATCTCCATCTTTCAACATACATAGATTTTTCATTGAACATTATATATAGGACTATTTCAGGATAACATTGTCTTCATCCCAACCATTCTTTCTCTTTCCTCAGGAGGCTTATGTGCAGAAGATGGTGAAAGTGTGTAATGATTCAGACCGTTGGAGTCTAATCTCCCTCTCCAACAACAGCGGGAAGAACGTCGAATTGAAGTTCGTGGATTCCCTGCGGCGACAGTTTGAATTCAGCGTCGACTCTTTTCAGATCCGCCTGGACTCCCTCCTCCTCTTCTACGAGTGTTCGGAGAACCCCATGGCTGAGACGTTCCATCCCTCCATTGTGGGAGAGAGCGTTTACGGAGACTTCAGCGTAGCCTTGGACCACCTGCAACGGAAACTGATCTGCACGCGAAATCCAGAAGAGATCCGGGGCGGCGGCTTGCTGAAGTACTGCCACCTGTTGGTGCGAGGTTTCCGTGCCGCTTCGGAAACCGAGATGAAGCTTCTCGAACGCTACATGTGCTCCCGGTTCTTCATTGACTTCTCGGATGTGGCAGAACAAAGGCGCAAGCTCGAGTCCTATCTGCAGAATCACTTTGTGGGACTAGAGGACCGGAAGTATGAGTACCTGACCACCCTGCACAGTGTCGTCAATGAAAGTACAGTATGCTTGATGGGACACGAAAGGCGACAGACTCTGAGCCTTATCACCATGTTGGCAGTACGCGTGTTGGCAGAGCAGAATGTAATTCCCAATGTGGCTAACGTCACTTGCTTTTACCAGCCTGCGCCGTACATTGCGGACGGCAACTTTAGCAATTACTACATTGCTCAGGTGCAGCCTGTCTACACCTGCCAACCCACCCACACATTCTCACCATGGTTGCCCTGCAACTGACCGAAATGTGTTAACTCACATCTGGTCCAACATGTCCAGTTAGAGCACCCGCCCAATGACAAGTTGAGAAGTCTGTATTTGTGTGCTCAAAAATGTGCGGAAAACCCAAGACATTGCCAATTGGCGGTTGCTATCTCGCTGCAAGGGGAAGCTACGAGCGTGTCTGATGGGAAAAAGAGTAGGAGAGTGAGGTAACTTGGATTTGTTCCCATTTGGCAGCATGTTCTACCTAGGCTTTCCATGGCTAAGTGCCAGGCCTAAAGAAGCACAACACTGGCTGAGAGGAAACAACACAGTCTTTTTTTGTGTGTGTACGTATGTGTTATAGTTATACTTGAAGAATCGAAGAGATCCTGCATATCGCGTTGAAAGATTAGCAAGGGAAGTGTTGTTGGGTTTTTTTATGCTCATTACTCATGCCAAGTCACTTTTCTCAAGCCAAGGATATTCTCGTAGATACCAGATACCCAAAACAGATTATCAACTAAGTGCCTTAAACTGAAAAAATGAAAGTCACTCTGTTAATGACCCTAAACTACATCTTTTTGGAGTCACATATAACTGTGGGTAGTGTACTGTAGTAAATGGGTTATGAATTTTGAAAGCCACATGATCATGAATTTCCAACTAATAGTTGCAACACCTAATTCTTATAATGTATTAATTTGGCACCACAATAGGGAGAATTAGAGGGCCTATATGAAAGTGTTGCATATTTCCACCCGAGGCATGTACGTATGAGTTTTTCACAGCTTCTTGTCTCATCTAAACTGACCTCAATATACTGTTGGCTCAGCGCTGGCTTAGCTCAGATTAAAATGTCCAGGGCAATGCCATTACATCTAAGGCAGAGAGGTAAAACAGGTCGAGGCTGAACAGGAAGAGAATTAATGAAAGTTGTTTAAGTCCAAATTGTTGTTGTTACATCCAGGTTACCTGGCGTCTTTCTGCAGGCCTAATTATCACACAGCCACCAAATCCAGAGATTATACCTTTGACACATCTGACCTGCATAACCTGGAGGATTAAGACCAGCAGAGATACAGCAGTGAGAAGCAGAAGCACAATTAAGGGAAGTTCAACAAAAACCAAAGATATTCTTAATGTTCCTCAAGATTGTGAAGCAACAATACTTGACATAAGAGCATCTACATGCTGTTGGAACCCCATTTGAATTATTCCATAAAGTCTGAATCAAAAAGCTCAGATGTATACTGTTAAAGCCTTGTCCCAAATGCTCCCCTAAGCCCTGGTGGTCCTCCTCCTTAGTCTACACTTTGGTGACGCAATGCTGCATAGACTGTATGGTAGTAGTCCAAAGGTGTGGACTCGCCAAAATTGGTGCACTCATGAGCAACCTTCAGAATCCAAAAATGGGACACCATGCGGTTACATGCATGCAATGGCTGTCACGAGTCTGCAGGATTGTAAGTTGGGACAGGGCCTAAGTTTGTCGCTTGCACTCATGGATAAATTCGCCCTAACTGATCATACAGAGATGGACACTTTCCTCTCATACGCTCCCTCACATATCATCATATCTCTTATTTTTCTACTGATTCTTCTATTTTTGTACATTGGTGATGTTTATGAAAAGGTCTTGGTTGGGACCTTACTCTAATGCTGTGAAGAGTACTGTTGTCTTTTATGAGTCGAAAGAAAACCCGGCCGAACATTAGTGCAGCAAATTCTCAACAAGCGTTGGTGTAAATTTTCATACTGAGTCATTACGGTTGGATGCCCACACAAGTGTGAATGTCCCTGTGTATGTGTGTCTTATCTTCTAAATCTAACATGTATGTGAATTCAGACGTGAAATTCTGAGTGTCGATATCGCAACGCATCGTGTATTTGCAAACATGAATGACTCATTAAATGGTGATTTTAAAAATACATCGACTCAGTGATGATTGTTAGCAATAAAAAAACCCACACAAGTCACTATTTGACCCTGATCTCTGGTTGGCCCATAGATTATCTCTTCCTGTTGTGTGGTTTTAACATACAGACAGCATGGTATTCAGAAAGCCACAATGAGCACTACAATGCATTTAAGGTGTTTTTGCAGATTAAAATCATGCTAGACCAGGAGTGTCCAAGCTCAGTCCTGGAGGGCCACTGTCCTGCAGAGTTTAGCTCCAACACCAATTAATGGTGCGTTCACGTGCTATGGTAATTATGGTAAATACCAAAAGCCGACGTTGAAAATGCACATGAACACCCCCTCATGTGGTATTTTCCACTGGGCAGCTCGTAGAATATTTTGATGCACGAGTTGCCGAGATGAGATAACCTTTGACCTTTTCAAAATGGCGGAGAGCAACGCGAGAGTCGTGAATGGTAAAAATATGTACTATTCATGATCTAGAAAATATACAGCATATTATTTAGCGTTTGAGTTTTGATAAATCATTTTCTTGCTGTAGCAGATAAGCAATCAAAAATAGTTTTAGCTAAATAACAGGTCTGGATCTCCATCTTTTTACCACATTACGACAACAAAAGTACTTGAACGCAAAACACTGGTAAATACCAGTTCACAAGTGGAAAATATCATATTTTCCATAGCACGTGAACGCACCATAAACACACCTAACCCAGCTAATCAACAAGGTCTTACTAGGCGTACTAGAAACTTCCAGGCAGTGTTGAGGCAAGTTGGAGCTGAACTTTGCAGGACAGTGGCCCTCCAGAACCGAGTTTGGACACCTCTGTGCTAGACCAACACTAGCACTTACTAGCATAAACAAGAATTGACTAGTATGGAAATCCATGCCAGTATAAGATGGTGTTTCCAGCAGGCAAATGTGTTAAAAACATCTAGATTCTGCAAATGCATCACATTAACACTTGCAAATGCACCACCTTAAAACCCAGCATTTCTTGTAGCACTCCTACAGAGACTGTTAGTCTCTTATGCTTACAGTCTGTTTAGAGTACATCACTGTTGGCTAAAGGATGCACCAATCTACCTGTTTAACAATTTCTCCATATAATCTTGTGTTTTTAATGTAATTAGGCAACTGTATGTCTCTCAACAGACCTGTAACTGTTAGCTAAGCAGCACACGGTGCAAGTAGCCCAGATAGCATGTAATCAATGAAACAATGTTGACTCGGTGTTGATGCGTCAACGCTAATTGCATTGAATTAACGTTACAAAGTGATGTTGCTTTAGTATCACTCTTGCACGCTCAGTTAATGGTGAAGCAATGTTGAGATTTCAACCAAAAATCAACTGTAATAGTATTGATTCAACATTACAATCAACATCTCTTTTGCACCCTCAGTAAATGTTGAAATAGTGTTGAGATTTCAACCAAAAATCAACAGTAATAGTATTGATTCAGCATTACAAAGTGATATTCTATCAACATCACTTTTGCACCCTTAGTTAATGTTGAAACTATGTTGAACAAAAAAATCAATGGTAATGCTATTGAATCAACATTACACTATGATTGATTCTACATCACCGATGCTGAATCAATATTGAAATTAACAAAAATAATCAATGGTAACATTGTTGAATCACAACGTTACACTATGATGTGGAATCTAAATCACTGCTGTTGAATTAACACTGAAATTAACAAAAATAATCTTTGGTAATATGGTTTGATCAATGTTACAATGTGATGTTGATTCTAAATACATTTAGTTGAAACTGAAAATACAACTGAAAAGGAATGTCAAACAATGTTGCCATCTGATGTACCAAGTTAATGTTGAAACAACATTAATATTTCAACTACACTTCAATGGTGGGTCAACAAATTCCTGACCATTTCAAAATTTGGAGAAAACCTTTTAAAGTATAAGAACGACTCAATTCAGTTGTCATACATACTGTACAGTCACATTCAAGAATGTTAACATACTAAAAACAATACGATTCACTTTTTAAAAAAGGGGGGAGGGGGTGGTTGAATATTAGTTTCTCTAAATACCCGGCTATGTGTAAATGTGGCCTAAATCTCAGTTCATTTTCTGTCAAACTACATAGCATTCAAGTAACAAGTTTATCTTGTAGAATAAAAGAGCTTAGGTTTTTTCAATGAAAATTTCTTTCATCATTTACTCACCCTCAAGTTGTTCCAACCCTGTACGAGTTTCTTTCTTCTGTTGAACACAAAATACGATATTTTAAAGAATGTTGGTAACCAGAAAGTTGACGGTGGCCATTGATTTCCATAGTAGGACAAAAAGACCATGTATGTCAATGGCTACCATCAACTGTCTGGTTACCAACATTCTTCACTCTATCTTCTTTTGTGTGCAGCAGAAGAAAGAAATTCATACAGGTTATGCTGTCGACAACAACTCAGTGTATAATCAATGTCAGCATTATCAGGAGGGTACTTCTCTTTTTTTTTATTGTCCATCACACCTACTAAAGGAGCAATGTGCTCTGCATGCAAGCACTGACGGATGCAAGACATGGGCTGTGTTTGCAGTGTAACATTCTTGCTCATGTTCATGTCTCCTGCACTTCACGAAATCTGTTAAATGACGTTAGAACTTTATTCAGGAAATTCCTAAGAAACTTTACTAAAGCAAGATGCATTTTTTAAGAATGTAGAAAAATAGATGCTTTATTCAAACAGTTTAATAACTTTTTAATGTATCTAATTACAGTGAGTAACAACACAAATCAAACGCAAATATAAGCATGCAAAACAAAGGAACAGAGAAATAAGGTAGATGCACCATTGTTTGAAACTGTGCAGTCATGTAAGTATGTCAGGTGCTTCAGCAAACAAGACTTCTGTATAGGATGCACCTATTTTTCTCTCTAATGAGGAAGCATTAGACTACTGAGAAGTGCACATGCAAAAGCAAAATGGGCGTTTACCAATCAGTGGCCAATTTCAAACAATAAATGTTTTTCAACCATTTTTCAACAGACTTGCTAAAATCATGAAGGCCCACCCCTAAACCAAACCCCCAGTGGATTAGAGCAAATCGGGTAAAGCGGTTGAAAACGCCCCACTAATTGAGAAACATCCACTAGTATTCTGCAAAGATACATGCCGGAATGATCTTGTGCTCATCAACTCCAAATCACTGTTAGTTCAATGTCACCGTCTCCACCCATGTGTGCTGTTGGCTTTCATCAAAATTTCAATGCTGATCCAACACACTTTAAACATTGAAATGTCAATGTCAACCAAAATGATGGTTTGGATTCAAACTCAACATTGTATCAATGTCACTATGCTATCTGAGAGATTTATTGTAGCCTGCGTCATGTTGGCGTAGACTGGATATCACTCCACCTGTCCCTAACTCTCCCTCATTTACTTTCTCCCCTTTCTCAATAGGAATTGCTGCTATAGCACTCTTGACTTGGCTACGAAACTTTCGGATATGTAGATTTTCTACTAGTACTGTCAAATCGATTAATCGCAATTG